TCACAGAGTCTGGACGAGCAGCAGTCAAGAGAGCAGGCAGGTTTTCGACTGTATTTCAGCACAATAGACCATATCTTCACTATAAAGCAGCTATTGGAGAGCACAAGGGAATACAAATTCCCTTTATGCATTGCCTTCATTAACTATGGGTACGTCTATACTTACCTCCGGGTCCGGTGGTAAGCAATCGATCTTCTGGGATCGATTTATCGCGTCTTGTCTAGACACGATAAATCGATCCCGGAAGTGCTCGCCGTCGACGGCGGTACTCCTGCTCCACGAGAGGAGTACACGGAGTCAATGGGGGAACCTGCCTGCCGCGTGTGGACCCGTGGTAAGTTCAAACTAAGATACTTCGACTTCAGCTACGTTATTCACGTAGCTGAAGTTGCGTATCTTAGTTTGAAGTGGGGGGTTAGTGTGGACCAGCCCCAAGAAAAAGCATTTGACAGCATAGAGATCAATGCAGTGCTGAAAGTTCTTGCAGAACAGGGCATCGACACAAACTACATCAAACTACTAAAGGAAGCAAACTGATTGTACTACAGATATAGCTGTTCAATACTCCTTCGCATCCCAGTCAAAAAAGGTGTGACGCAAGGAGACACGGTTTCACCGAAACTCTCGTCAATGGACAGCAGTTAAACCACCTCAGATTTGTGGACGATATCATGTTGATTGCTGAAAACACTATCAAACTACACAAAATGCTGCAAGAACTCAAACACAAAAAGCAGCCAAGTTGGACTGAAAACTAACCGCTCTAAAACAAAATGTATGCGGTCTGATGCCTTGCCAAAAGCCCAAAAAATAGTCAAGGGAGAACAAATAGAAGAAGTTGAGCAATGCGTTTATTTGAGCCAAGAAATAAACATGCTCTTGTGAAGGTGAACTCTCGTGAAGAAAGAAAGCTGGTTGGCATGTATTCAATTCTATCAAGGATTGTTTCCAAGGAAAAAAAATCAACAAGGCAACATGTGCCAACCTCTTCATCTCAACAGTACTGTTGGCAATGCTGTATGGCAGCAAAACATGGGCACTGAGGAGCAACAACTGTCTGTCACAGAGAGGGTGATGGAAAGAAGAATTTTAGGGATTTCAATCTGTGACTGAGTCCCCAAAGAAGTGGTCAGACAGCGGAGTGGAGTGCAGAATGTCGTTGTTGAAAGCAGGTTCAGTAAAATGCGATGGGCCAGGCATATAGTTAGACTCACTGACAATCGATGGACTGCAGCTGTAGCCAAGTGGTACCCACAGGAACTGAAACGACCACTTGGCTGACCTCCAAAGAGATGGGAAGATTTTATTGTGAAAAGCCATGGACGCACATGGAGAAGGAAGATCAGGATAAGAGAAGAATGGAAGACATGTTGTGATTGGCGCAATCTGTATGAGGGTTGAAGGAGTGATCGATCAAGGTGATAAGAAATAGAAACCAGAAGACAAGACAGTGGAACCCCAAAGACATATTGCACAATCAATGTAGATTGAAAAAAGATCAAAACAACAAGATGTTTTCTGTTTCACTGATTAAAACACAGTGTAGAGTAAGTGAAAGATGTATCTACAAACTTGGAAAAGAGACAACTAAGGGGATATGATGAAGTTCTATAAAATTGTAACTGGTGTAGAGAAAGTAAATAAGGAAGTGTTATTTACTCCTTCTCATAACACAAGAACTAGGGGTCATCAAATGAAATTAATAGGCAGCAGGTTTAAAACCAACAAAATGAAGTATTTCTTCACACAACCGACAGTCAACCTATGGAACTCTTTGCCAGAGGACATTATGAAGGCCAAGATTATAGCAGGGTTCAAAAAAGAACTAGATAAATTCATGGAGGATAGGTCCATCAATGGCTATTAGCCAGGATGGGCAAAGATAGTGTCCCTAGCCTCTGTTTGCCAGAAGCTGGGAATGGGCAACAGGGGACAGATCACTTGATGATTACCTGTTCTGTTCATTCCCTCTGAAGCACCTAGCATTGGCCACTGTTAGAAGACAGGATACTAGGCTAGATGGACCTCTGGTCTGACCCAGTATGGCCGTTCTTATAAAAAACATTTGTATTGTGTACTTTATTTTTGTATTTTCTTAAAAAATAATAATTTTTTTTAGAAGTTTCTCATTGCAGTCTCTTCTCATAGGAGAATTGTTTCTCTTGCCAAATTGGAGGTGAATCAGAAAAACTGTTTTAGAGACTGTAATGGGATGCACTTGTTAAGTTTGTGGGTGCCTGCAGTTTTTCCTCAATTTCTTTCACTCATGGTGCCCCATCGGCCATTGCACTTGTCAGGCGGGTCTTTGGTGACAGCCCTTCAGCCGTGTCACACTCAGTTCATGTACAAAACAAACAAACCCGTTCCACGGTACACAATCCAAAATGTCCTCAGTGTCCAGCAGCCATCCCTGGGGTCAGTCTTCTAAAACAGTCCAACAGGGCCCATCACGGTACCCTCGCTTGGTTAAGCCAGGTTGCAAGGCTCCTATTCTGGAATTGAGCAGCATCCCAAGGGCTTCCTTCCTAGGGACTCTTTGCCTCTACTTGAGTCCTCAGAGACCCCAGCCTTCCACCTCTCTTGGACTCAGTTCACTGACCACAGCTCCCTGCTGAGTCAGTTCCAGTGCAGCCCCCTTCCCTGGGGTACCACAATTCTAATTCCCTTCCCTAGGGCCTAGCCACTTCCCGACAGTGGCTGGTGGGCCGACCTGGTCCCACCCACCTCCCCGGGTCCCAACCCAGGGATCCTTTAAGTATAGCAGCCTCATGCTGCACCCCTTTAATAGTTGCTGCTTTATGTTTCCTTGGGCCACTTCCCCACAGCACACCTTAGTTGAGGCCCAGCAGCCAGCTCAGTCCTTGCTCCCATGGTTCCTACCAGTAACTGCCTGCTTTAGCCCTTACAGCCAGCCAGGAGCACCTCTTCTTTCTTCCAATCTCTGCTACCAGACACAGCTCACTCTGTCCAGCCTTTTAGCTCCTTTTATACGGTCCTGCTGGGCCCTGATTGGCTGTTCCCTGCAGCCCCTCTCATTGGCTGCTTCCCTTGCAGTCACTCTACCCGCTAGGAGGACCTCTCTACTTCTCCTTTCCTGGGATGGGTGTGGCAGGACCCTGAAGCCTCCAGTAGGGGGCCTCTGGGCCTAGTCCACCCCATCACAGAGACAAAAAAATTACTTTTAGCTTTTTTTTGAAAATTCTATAATAAACGATACTGCAAATGTGTCTAATGTGCCTATAGGAGTGACAACTGGGCCTATAACTTTTTGCCTGCTTGGGAATTAACCATGAAAAGTAGGTCAAGTTATTTTTAATAATGTTATAAACAGATGCAAGAAACCAGACAAACTGAATTAGCCCCAAAAAAGGGGCCTAGTGATATAACTCAAGAACTGTATTGAGATCAGGCTTGCTTGGTAAACAAGAAATTGTGGGTCTGGAAATCAGTAAACCATATTTGGTGTATCAGAAACTAGACCTAATTGATGGGCTAACTAATGAGGGGAATGGCTATTCAAACTCTCTCTCCCTTTTTGGGGTCCTTAAGGAAATCTTGTGGAAGACCAGTCAGAGGCTACTAGAGAACTTCACCATCCTGGGTTCCACGCCTACCATTTCCTGGGACCCCAGGCTTTTGTCATCCAGATCCTGAGAAATGTCCTGACCAGACCAGGCCAGAGAGAAGGACCCAGATGACATCACCACCCCACCAGCTCCAGTTGAATCCCAAACACCATCTAAGATGAAATAGGAATGGACTTTAACAATAACAGCTCATCTCAACTAACTTCTCTTTAATCCAAAAGGACAGTTATTACCATCTTTGACACCATCTAAGACACTGTCAAACTAGGGGATTTTCCTTCTAAAAACTCTCCCCCAATAAAGGGAAAAGGAATAAGGAATGTTGTTAAAATGAAAGCCTTATTTAATACTTTACATTTCAAATGTTCTAAGTGTTTTTCCTTCCTTTCTTTATCTTTAGTAAAAGGTTAAAAGGATGTTTAATTTTGTTTGCCATGGTACTAAGCAGACTGAGGTCTCTGTCCAAATCCCGAACCTTGTTTCACACTGTTTAACGTTGGACAGTGACTAGGTTATGTTAACACCCTTTGGTCCCTATTTTCCATCTAAATCAGTGCTTCTCAAACTATGGGCGGGTCTCCCAAGGGAGGAGTGGGAATATTTCAAGGAAGGCGAGAACTGCATGCTTTTTTCTCTTTTTTTGCAGAGTTCTGGCATCAGCCCCAGTGGCTGGGGCTCGTGCACAAGAGACGTGCACACGAGAGGCGGGATTAAAAAGGACAGCTGAAGTCCCACCACCCAGGCCTGGGCTCTCCTCCCCCAACCTATCCCTCACTGGGAGGAAGCCTGGGCTCAGGATCTCCTTCTCCCCCAATCCATCACTGGAGGTGGTAAGGCTCCGTCTCTCAGCCCTGGGATGGCAGCAGCAGCGCAGAAGTAAGGGTGGCAATGGGCCGCCAAGTCTGCTGTGAAAAGTGATATTGACAAGTTATCACTTTTCACATTTCCTCCCTTACCTTTTGGGGTATTTGGGTGGTCTTTCTCATGATGTGAGCCCTAGAGGGGGTGGTGACACTATGTAGATGTGCGGGGGAGGGGGACCCCTAAGGGAGTGGTGACATGGAGTGTGTGGAGTGGGCAGGGAAGCCGTGGAGGGGGCAGTGACGGGGGGGGGGAGGAGGCACTACTGGCGCTCTGGGGGAACAGGACAGTGACATTGTGGGGAGGGAGGAGGCAGCCTTGGAATAGGCAGTGGGGGGTCCCTGGGCTGTGGACACTGTGTGGGGAGGCAGTCCTGGAAGGGGGATGTTGGTACTGGGGGGAGGGCAGGCCCTTGAGGGGCACTGTGGGGGGCAGCACTGGAAGGGGCGGGACGGTGTCCCCGGGATGTGGAGACTGGGGGGGGGCAGCCCTGGAAGGGGCGGGGGGCCGGAGCGGTGGCAGTGGGGGGAGAAGGGGCAGGCGGAGGAGGCAGGTCTCCGGCGGTGGCCCCGGGGCGGCGCTGTGGGCGGCAGTCGGGGCGGCGCCATGTTAAGAGCCGCCCTCCTCGCCCCCCCCCGCTTTCGGCTGCTCCGGCACCGCGGCCCGCCAGCGCCTGCGAGCCCCCCGCCTGCGCCCGAGGTAAGCGGCGGCGGCGCGGGCTGTCACTGCTCCCGCGGGGGTGGGTGCAGGGCCGCGCTCGCTCTGCCGGTGCCCCGGGGGAGGCCCTGGGGCTCGGGAAGGCGGCAGCGGCGGGCTCTGCCGACAGGCCCCGGTAGCGCACACCGTCCCGGCGGGCACAGCCGTGGCCAGGCCCCGCCGCGCTGAGCGCAGCCGGGGCTCGGGGGTGGCTGGGCTCGCTGCGGGCCCGGCCGTCAGCGCGGGAGGTAGCGCGGCTCCTCCTAACCCTGCAGGCCCTGCCTGGGGCGCCTGTAAGGCGAGACTGAGCCGGGCTCTGCGCATGGGCTGAGCTTCGCCCTGGCCGCGCCAGAAGCGCCGCCAAACCAGCGCCAGGTTGTCCGCGTCCAGCCTCGCATCGCTTCAGCCAAACGGGTGTCACGTCGCCCCCGAGTTGACGCTTGTTCATAGTCACCCAGCTTGGCTCGAGCAGCGGGGTCCTGTGTTCTCGGTTGTACGAGTCCTGGAGAAAGAAATCAAATTGCGCAGATAAAGTTTGCAAATTAGGGGGCTGGGGGGTGTAATGAGATACCAGCCTATTGCTCTGTGCTGGGTGGGGGAGCGAGGCAGTGACTTCACGCAAGTCTCCCTGTTCCCACAAGGACCTCCTCAGAGGGGACCTGGGCATCATTATAGACAGCGCCATATATATCCATACCTCTGCTCAATGGACATCTGCAGTCAGATAGCAAACAAGATGTTCTGATGTGATGGAGAATAATACAAAGAATATGATAATGTCCATATATCAACCCCTGGTGTGGTCTGTACTGTGTACAGTATTGGTCACCCAGTCTCAAAAGGCTACTGCAGAACTAGAGGGCATTCAGAGAAGCCTGGATCAAGGGCATGGAATATCCTATGTGAAGAGAAACTTTGAAGATTGGATAGTTTATTTGAGAAAGAAGATGTGATAAAACATATTAATTAATTAACAATAAAGAAAAGATAAATGGGGAACTCCTTGGAATTACCTTGTTTGACGCCTGTATTTACAAAAAGTTCCAGTCTGATGATAAAGGAAATTAACAGAGCGTCAAGGAAATCTTCTGTGCAATAGTTCTCATGGTAGAGACAAATACAATTCCTCTCAAGTATAGGGAATAATCACCCATGCACTTTGAGCTTCTTTGCTTCAACACTTAGAAAATTCATTTCTTCCTCTTATCTGACAGCAAGTAATGTTACAGAAGAAACTGCCAGGGCCTAATATGCACCACTGAAGGTTCCTGGCTTGCCTTCCCTTCCATCTCTCCTTCCAGTTGCCAAGTTACTCTCCTTCAGCACTGACAATGCCCCCCCCCCCGCCCACCCCCCAGCTACTTGAATCTTTACACTGGTTTCCCTCATGTATCAAGTTTTTATCCCTTTAAAATTCTCTACTACTCCAGCGCTGTCTTTCTTCTCCTATACTCCTTATGGTTTGTCCACAATCTAAGCTTTGTTTCCTTCCCCTCTAGTTTTTGTGCCTTCTTTAATTGTACCCTATAATGTCTCTGATTTAACATTTGTCAAGGTCCTCTGAAAACACTTCAGGACCCTCCCCCCATTTCAGAATCAAATACCATCCAAAAATAGTTGTATCTCCCACTGTTAAAACTTAGAGAAGGTAGGCGAGGTAATATCTTTTATTGGATCAACTTCTGTTGGTGAGAGAGACAATCTTTTGAGCTAGACAGCGCTCTTCTTCAGGTCTGACCTGCGTAGCTTGAAAGCTTGTGTTTCTCACCAACCGAAGTTGGTCCAATAAAAGTTATTACCTCACCCACCTTTTCTCTCTAATACTTTGGGACCTACATGACTACAAGAATGGGGCATTACTATTAAAACTATCAGAAGTTAGTTGTAGACAAGCCAGCATTGTACTAACCGGTAAATTCCCCTGCAGCTGTTGAATTGTTTCCTACAATATATTTTCTGCTTTGATTTGCTTCACTTTTGATTAACTTTTATGCAATGAGATTACTCAGTAGATATATAGAGCTCAGAGGATCAGGGAGAATTGCCTACCAGACTAAAATTGCATTTGCCTCATTGCATGCCATTGGTGATCCTGCTTCTGCAAAAACGTAATCTGTTATATTCCCTTTCCTTTTAGTTGCCTTTTTCAACATATTGAAAACACATTGATGTCACTGAAGATACAACAAAAATGAATTTGGTTTACTGCATATAGTTCTTTTTGACCAAAGTTTTCAAAGCTGGGTGTCGGAATATGAATTTAGGAGCTTAGTTTTAGGCCTTGATTTTTGTTACGTGAATCGGCATTGATATAGTCAAATTCGAATGTGATTATAGAGAAAAGAACTAGACATGACCACAGGGAAATATTAACTTTGTATATATAAAATGAATATAGTGTAAAGATTTGCATAGCTGTGGAATTGTTCTGTTACGAAAATTAATTCTTCTGCAGGATTATATCCTTTTAATTCATCACATTTTGGGCTTGAACAAAAGTACAGTCAGTAGAACAGGTAAACACAAATACTACCATTTACATTTAACACTGAAATTGGATTAAAAATCTAACAACCCCAAGGCAACAAGAAACATCCATTGTCTCTTTGCTGATAAAAGAATATTTAACTGAAGCTCTTTTAATTTACAGTATACCATACAGGTCTGTCGCATCTTACGCGCATTTAACATGCGCGATTTCAACTTTACGCGGTCGGCAAAAACAAAACAAAACAAAGAGAAAAACAACAATTTTAATACTATACCTGTAGTGCGGGTGATTTCGCCCGCCATTGAACTCAGTGGGGTTTTGGTTACACGCGGTTTTCGCTTTACGCGCTAACCGTGGAACGGAACCCCCACGTAAGATGAGACAGACCTTGGCTTTATTTAGAAGCTCTCACTTAAGTTAAATGTAATAATTTTCTCCTGGTATTTATAGTTTTAAAAAGTTCCTAAAGAAGACAGCTGCATTTGTATTGGCGTTTTCCTGGCTAAATGCAAAACATTTGGTTAGAATTTAAACTTACAGTTTCAGAATGAGCAGAAAAGGAAGGTACTAGGCATCAAAATTAATTGGTGATGTTACTTTCTTAGCAAGTCAGGGATGGGTGGACAAATTTCTGTTATGATGAGGTTTCACAGTAAGATAGAAAACTACATCAGGCTAATATTTTATAACAGTAGAATAGTCCTTTTTAACTTTCTGCAGCTTTTTAAAAAAATTGCACGGTAAACGTATGGCTGGTAGATATATTTATTATTTGTATTGTGGTAGTGCTTACGGGCCCTAGTCATAGACTGGCCGTCACCTTCAGCCCCCAACTAAAACCTCTCCAGCGCCTCATTAAAGGTCTACAACCTATCCTAAAAGATGATCCCTCACTCTCACAGATCTTGGGAGAAAGACCTGTCCTCGCTTACAGACAGCCCCCCTACCTGAAGCAAATACTCACCAGCAACCACACACCACTGAACAAAAACACTAACCCACGAACCTATCCTTGCAACAAAGCCCGATGCCAACTCTGTCCACATATCTATTAAAGTGACATCATCATAGGACCTAGTCACATCAGCCACGCCATCAGGGGCTCGTTCACCTGCACATCTACCAATGTGATAGATGCCATCATGTGCCAGCAGTGCTCCTCTGCCATGTACATTGGCCAAACCGGACAGTCTCTAAGCAAAAGAATAAATGGACACAAATCTGACATCAGGAATCATAACATTCAAAAACCAGTAGGAGAACACTTCAATCTCCCTGGCCACTCAGTAACAGACCTAAAGGTGGCAATTTTGCAACAGAAAAGCTTCAAAAACAGATTCCAACGAGCAACTGCTGAACTTGAATTAATATGCAAATTAGACATATCAATTTAGGCTTGAATAGAGACTGAGAATGACTGAGCCATTACACACATTGAATCTATTTCCCCATGTTAAGTATTCTCACACCTCTTGTCAAACTGTCTGTAATGGGCTATCTTAATTATCACTACAAAAGTTTTTTCTCTTAATTAATTACCCTCTTAGAGTTGGTAGGACAACTCCCAACTTTTCATGTTCTCTGTATGTGTATATATATCTCCTCACTATATGTTCCATTCTATGCATCCGATGAAGTGGGCTGTAGCCCACGAAAGCTTATGTTCAAATAAATTTGTTAGTCTCTAAGGTGCCACAAGTACTCCCATTCTTTTTACATCCCCACTGTGCTAGTTGCTGTACAAACATATAAAAAAGACAATCTTTTCCTTCAGAAACTTACAGTCTTCCTATAAGGCAAGAGAGAGTAGATGAATACAGGAAATATAGAACACAAGCAAACCAGTGACAGAACTTGGATTAGAACTAAATTTCCTGGCTCCTCATACTGTGTTTAAACATACAATGCTATCTCCCAATTTAAAAAAAAAAAAAAGATGACAGTTTAAACACATCCCTAGTGAACTGTTACTGTTGCATGATATTTGGCTATGGTAGCATCCTGAATAATAAAATCCCATTTCCCTTCCCCACTCTTCCAGAGCAGTGTTCCACCTTTTCTGCTCCTCCTACCCTTCTCCCCTTGCTCCCCAAAAAGAGAACATGCAGTTGGTGGGTACCTTACTAAAAACTTTGGGAACCACTGTTATAGAGGATATTCCCTATGGTAGCTGAGGGCTGATAGTGAGATTAGTAGATACACCATCTTGACTTATTTAGGAAAAGTGGAGTATGAAGTACAGTAGAAGTACTGGAATGGAACATTAGTTCTCATAATTCTGTCCCCTCTCAGTCTCTGTCCTCTGCTCACATATTCCCTTGTGTTCTGCCCATTTGTCTCTGCTTGTTCCTGGCTCAGCCATTCCTCAGTGAGTGCCTGGAATAGTCTCTCACTATATGCCAAGGAATTACTGGAAAAAACATCTTCAAGTAGTTACACCTCTACCCCGATATAACGCTGTTCTCAGGAGCCAAAAAATCTTACCGCATTATAGGAGAAACCGCGTTATATTGAACTTGCTTTGATCCGCCGGAGCGTGCAGCCCCCCTCCACCCTCCCGGAGCGCTGCTTTTCCGCATTATATCCAAATTCATGTTATATCGGGTCGCGTTACATCAGGGTAGAGGTGTACTGAAAACCCAACTGTTCAGTTAAGTGTTTAACATGAAATGGCCATGCTACATTCTCTGTTTGGTTTTGTCTGGCATTCTTTGCTTGTACCTTTAGATTGTAAACCCTTAGAGGTGGGACCCTGTTATCTTTTTGACACTGACTTATTATTCAGTAGTACCATGTGTATTTAAGATGCTGTGTACCAGTCAATGAGGGTTTTTTTAAAAGGGTAGGGTAAAATGAGCATGATGGAGCTATGTATTCTTAGGGCTTTGTAAGAGGCCCTCAGTTCAACCTGAGGTATCCGTTAACTTTTAACTGGTATAAACCAAAACCATGTGGTTATGTTGTACAGCACTGCTCATCTAATGCCTTCCAATCACTTCACAACATTTGATTAAACCATATAAAGCTGGTGTAGAGTCTCAAGCAGAAATCCATGTGATCTAACTGTTTTGTCTTCTCAAAAACGTTTTAAAGAGGAGAATAAAAAAAATATTAAGGATATTTTTTGTGTAGAAAAAATTGGCAGGAAGAGAGAAAGTTAAGAGGCAGAGGAAATGCATGAAGGCCACAGTGTGAAGTTGGAAGAAGCTACAAATGCATTGGGCTTCTCAGGATGACATCAGCTTAGTAGCAGTGGGATTCTTTATTAGAGAAATGTTGGTTTTGGAGTCCTAGAATGTAGAGAGTGAACCTCTTAGTTCTTCTAGGTCATCTCCCTGTTCACTGCAGGTGTGTTGCTTATTGCAAGTGTTCTGGGTGGGTTTCAGCAGAAATATTTTAATATGTTTGAATGGTACCTACTTTTCCAGAGAAGATTGCAAAAGTATGTTTTTATATTTTTCAGGTTCCTTATTTTTGTATAAAGATTGAGAGAAGTCAACCTGGTAAGATGGAATCCTCTGATATTGTACAGTAAAGCCCTAAAATACAAACTAACGTTAATGTTGACAGCCTAGGAGTAGCAAAAATAATGGTATAATAAGTAGTTTTGAGAATAAACATAAAAAGATTTGGAGCCTTCTAAAGACTTTGCCTTTCAAAGATGCTAAGATTCTAGTTCACTGCTGTGTTACTCCAGTTTTATGCTAGTGTAATACCATCATAGTCCAGGGAAGTTACACCGGTAACAGTAAAATTGTAGTAATTGAATTAGGGCCCAAATGTATAGTCATGCTCTTATTGTCTTAATGTAAAGATATAAGTGTTGGCACCAGTTTCTTCAAGATGCAGATGTCGATAGTTTAAAAGGTTCTATTTATTAGCAAAAGTGAAGGTATTTGGGTAGTAAGTGTTTATTAAGGAGTTAAAATTCCCAAGCACAGAGAATGTGGTGAGAAACCATATACTTCTAGAGTTAATTTATGAACAAAATGAAGGCAAAGGATAGGATAATTTCTGTTCTGTACTGTTCTGTTCCTTGCCAGGCTTGGAAAGTAGTGTTCACAAAGGCAGAATAACACAATGATCCCCAAACTGTAGGATTTAAATGTAAATTAATTTTAAATGTGGAATGTAGGAGTAGAAACTGGAGAATAAAAGACTATAGCTTGCCAGAGGTGGAATGATTTCATAAGACAAAAAGATGTTCAAACCAGTGTACCACAAAAGAACATATGAGGAGGTGTCTTGGTTACTTGATCCCATTCCCTTCACACCATTACTGTTCTCTCCTTTTATTAAAAGTTACCACACACACAAAAAATGTTGGCAAACAGCCACAAATTTGGTACCCTATTATAGACCACAGTTATTAAACCTGAAATGTTCATATAAGGCAACTGAAATTTTGTTTCTGAAACATGGAAAGAATTTGTGTAACTGGAAGGTAACTTCTTTGTAAAAGTCAGCTGTACTGTAGTCACCTGAAAAAAATGGGCCATCCTGATTATCACTATAAAAGTTTTTTTTTCTCCTGATAATAGCCCACCTTAATTGATTACTCTCGTTATAGTTGGTATGGCAACACCCATTTTCTCATGTTCTCTGTGTATATATCTCTTCCTACTGTATTTTCCACTGCATGCATCCGATGAAGTGGTGTTTTAGCCCACGAAAGCTTATGCTCAAATAAATTTGTTAGTCTCTAAGGTGCCACAAGTACTCCTCGTTCTTTTTGCTGATACAGACTAACATGGCTACTACTCTGAAACCTGCAAAAAATGGCCATTCAAAGTTGTTTTTTGTTTTCTGATTTTTAAAAACCTGTTGGCTGGAGATACAAATTGATAGTGGTTTTTGTTGTTGTTTTTGTTTTGTTTTTAACAGCTGAGATTATGGCACTGAAACAGATTTCCAGCAACAAATGCTTTGAGGGTTTCCAGAAGGTGTTTGAACATGACAGGTAAGCATTACAAAGGCAACCTAAAATTTTAGCACCGGGAGAGCAATGGCAGTATCATATTACTTCTAATATTTCCATAGTCAAAAGAAAGACAAAATATGCGTTTCCCTGATAGTAATATTAGTGTTTTAGTAGCTTCATTTTTATATTATGTCTTTAGCTTACAAGTTGCTTTATTCTACATTTTTAAACACTTATTACTAAGTTCGGCAGAGGGAAAACATTATTAGTAAATTTACTATGTCCTGAGAATTGGTCTAATCACCTTGGGCTGCTGTATTTGCAATGTGGAGATATGAATATATATTAACTCCATGTGAATGAAGCAGTAAGTGTTTTATTCACATGACCAGAAGCATCAAACAAACTAAAATAGAAGTAGAAACAATCTTTCAATGAGGAGGAATTACCTATACAACTATATATAAGCATGTAGTTTTCATTTCTGGTCTCTAAAAGACACCCATTACCCATGAATCAGCAATTCTTTGCTGTGAAGGGGAGAGACTCTTTTAGATAAAGGTCAAACTCCAGTTGCTTATGTAAGTCTTTTCAGCCTGTTTGCTTGTGGCATGAAATAGAGTATAATTCAAATGTATTACAATATTAATTAGGTGCTTGTCCATCTTTTGAATTAGAATATATACACCTCTACCCCGATATAATGCGACCTGATATAACACAAATTCGGATATAACGCGGTAAAGCAGTGCTCTGGGGGGCGGGGCTGCGTGCTCTGGCGCATCAGCATGTCTGGCTCCGACACGCTGCTCTGAGCGGTGTGTTAAGGGTGCCGGGCCAGGGTCGAGGGTTGGATAACAGGCGCAGGGTCTTGGGGGGCGGTCAGGGGACAGGGGGGAGCCACACCCCGAGGATGGGAGCTGCAGTGCAGTGGAAGGTCACACGGGCTCCAGCTAGTGCCGAGAAGTTGGGGAAGACTGGTCCACGTGGGGAAGTTGCGGATCCAGGGCAGGGAGAGCTGCCCATCCTAGATGGCGCTGTGCAGGTGCCCCTGTCCCGGCGCTGGAGGGCTCGGCACACAGCAGGCTCGGCTGACAGGCTGCGCCCCGCTCGCAGCAGCGCCGAGCGGGCTCTCCGGGGCCATAGCGCCGCACTACCTGCCCGCAGTCAGGGGCTCCATATGCCCCGGCAGGCAGCTGGCTGCAGCGTCCTCACCAGAGACGGGTTGTGCAGGGCTCTGCGGAGGAGGAGAGATGGGCTGAGCGCGGGCACGCATGGCAGGAGCTGCCCGCCAATGGCTCACCTCCCCCGGCACCGCATGGGCACGGGGCGGGGACCAGGCACACGTGGGCACCTCGGGCGAGGCTGCCCGCCCTGCTCCCCCTCGCGGTGGGGGTCGGATAGGGGGCAGGGCTATTTGCTGACTATTAATAACGGAGATGCTCGAGGCCAAAGCACATTCAATATAATGCGGTTTCACCTATAACGCAGTAAGATTTTTTGCCTCCCGAGGACCGCATACTATCGGGGTAGAGGTGTATATTCCTTTGTATAGTACTGCTGCTGGAAGATCTTGCATCTAAAGAAAGTAGCTTCTGAAGAAAAAATGCTTTCTATTGGCAGTTTTAACGTTGAATAAAAATTGGGCAATTGATTAGTGTATCAGTCTGGGAGACTGAAACAACTTGACTTTTGCTTCTATATGTACTGCACTGTAAATTATGTGAGCTATTTGTAAATGTTCTTAAAATATGTCTCTCCAATTTAACAGGCAGGAGTTAGGTTGAACATTGTTAGGTCTTGAATTCCAATGCAATTTTCAAAATATTCCCTACCAGCCAGACTGTAAGGATTTGGTTTATTTTTCTTTCTTTTTAAAATGTATTTAAAACATAGTAGAAATGCAATCAGTGTTACTCAATAGGCTAATGTTGTTAGTTTCACTTGCACTCTTAAAATACTATTATCCATTGAATCAGTAATGGCCTGGTTTAGATATTCTGATTAGTATTCTAGAAATGCATAGATAAACTCTAGATCAGGGATCGGCAACCTTTGGCACGCGGTCTGCCAGGGTGCCAGGCCGGTTTGTTTACCTGTCACCGTTCCAGGCCAATGGGGGCAGCGGGAAGCAGCGGCCAGAACATCCCTCGGCCCGCGCAGGTAAACCCTGCTCTAGATAGTGCGTGTTTTTTTTTTTTAAATGATTGTCCTGGGCTTGTCTGTTAGATACTGTTAATCAAATGTATTTTGTTGCTACAGTATAGAGTTAAAATGCAAAATGAGGTTTGGAATCTATTTACCACCAAAAGCAGAAATTGGAAAGTGTCCTGTGCTGTACTGGCTCTCAGGTGAGTAATGTGAACTTCGGTATTTTTAAAAGATACTGTTAGGTTAATTTAAGACCCAAAATTTACAGTATGTAAAAAAGGAGATAAATTGATTCCATTAAAGTATGGTTGCCAACTTTCTAATTGCACAAAACCGAACACCCTTGCCCTGCCCCATCCCTGAGGCCGTGCCCCCTGCCCTGGCCCTTCTTTGAGGCAACGCGCCCCCCTCACTCCAGCCCCCTTCCCTCTCCCCCACCATCACTCGCTTTCACTGGGTTGGAGCAGGAGGTTAGAGTGCGGGACGGGGTTCGGGCTCCAGCTGGGGGTGTGGGCTCTGGGGTGGGGCCGGGGTTGAGGGGTTTGGGGTACAGGAGGGGGCTCCAGCTGGGGCTGAGGGGTTTAGAGTGTGGGAAAGGGTGAAGGGTGCAGACTCCGAGAGGGAGTGGGGTTCGGTCTCCAGGACAGGACTCAGGGCTGGGGGTGCTGGGTATGCGCTCTGAGATGGAGTTAAGGTGCGGGAGGGGGTTCCGACCTGGGGCAGGGGTTGGGGTGGAGGAGGTGATTTGGGGTATGGGCTCTGGCTGGGCGGCGCTTACCTCAGGCAGCTCCCAGTCACCGGTGCAGCAGGGCTAAGGCCAGGGCCGGTGCTACCATTAAGGTGAACTAGGCGGTTGCCTAGGGCACCAAGATTTGGGGGCGCCAAAAAGTGGTGCCCCCAATTTTTTTTTTTTACTGTGTTCCTCCCCGAGCACGCCGTTGCTGCTCCACTTCTCCCACCTCCCAGGCTTGCGGCGCCAATCAGCTGTTTGGCGCCACCAGCCTGGGAGGGGAGGAGAATTAGGGCGGGGGTTGCATGCTCAGGGAGGAGGCGGAGCAGAGTTGAGCTGGGGTGGGGAGCTGCCGTGGGGGGGGGAGGGGCGCCTCAGGGCGGGGGTGGGGAGCTGCCACGGGGGGGGGGAGGGGGGCTCAGGGCGGAGTGGGCGGCAGGGAGCTGCCGCAGGGCTGGGGAGGGGGGGTTCAAGGTGGAAGTTTCGCCTAAGGCGTGAAACTTCCTTGCACCGGCCCTGGCTAAGGCAGGTGCCCTGGCTCCGTGCTGCTCCCAGAAGCAGCTGGCATGTCTGGCCCCTGGGTGGAGGCACGGACAGGCAGTTCTGCGTGGTGCGCGCTTCCCATGCCTGCAGGCGTTGCCCCTGCAGCTCTCATTGGCCATGGTTCCCAGCCAATGGGAACTGTGGAGTCGGCTCTGGGAGTGGGGACAGCGTGCAGAGTTTCCCTGATCGCCCCTGCACCTAGGGGCCGCAGGGAAATGCCGGCAGCTCCCGGGAGCTGTGCAGAGTCAGGGCAGGCAGGGAGCCTGCCTCAGCTCCATTGCGTTGCTGACCACACTTCTAATGTCCCGGTCAGTGGTGCTGACCGGAGCTGCCAGGGTCCCTTTTCAACGGGGCATTCCGGTCGAAAACCGGATGCCTGGCAACCCTACATTGAAGACTGCTTTTGTTTGGGTTTAAACACTCCCCTGCAATGTGGTATTGTGCTAGCATATGAATCAGCCAGCCTTAGCGGGGGGCAGGCTGCCATATTTATGGCCTTTTTTTTTTTTTTCCTGTGCTGCTGGAGCAGTGCAGAGAAACTTGAAGGATCTGGCCCTGCACATGCAAAAAAATCTAGAACCTATATATTGTTGGTGGGCCTTTAGCTCACGTTGACTAAATCTTCAAATAGATTTAGGATATTCTGTGTAACTAATAAAAAGCTGTGCCTATACAGCTTGTGATAAGCTGGTGTTTGCACACTCTATAGATATTTTCCTCTCTGGACCTGTTTCTGGAAGAAAAAATGATCAGGGTGGAATCCACAACGGGGAAAACTGTCCTATTTAAGTAAATGTGCTATATGAAAATTGTTTCATCCTGTATCCATGCTTTAGGATATGGTGCTATTTAGATCTCAGGGACTGGATATACTGTAAAATGTTAATCTTAATGCATGGTGTAACAGTGGAAGAATGACATCCTAGTTCTAAAACAAATTTTAACAGGAACTACCAGTTTGATTGTATTAACAAATCAGACCAAGTTTGAAATATGGATTTTGCCAGAGGTACATTGTGTATATATAAGATATAGAAGAATTTAGTTAAAAAAACAAAACTGAAAACAGAAAATCTTGTCCTAATATATGCTTACCAATTTAAGCAGTAGTTGCTGAAAGCAATGTTTTGCAGCCTATTGTAATTTTACCAGTAGTCTGATATATGTAGCTATGGTAAAGTTTACTTGTGTTACTTTTGATATTTTTCCCCATTACCTTCTTTAACTGTTAATATTTTGTATAAATTATCAAAAAATAGCAAATTTCTATTATTGATGGTTGGCAAAATTAGTAAATGTCTCAATTCAGTGTACAAGCATAAGTCACTAAAATTAGAGGCAGTTACAATTCCATTAAAGCTAGTGGAAGTACAAGGGTAGAATAGGCCAGTAGAGGTGTGATTCTAAGCCCTAACCTGTACTTGACTTCCATTATAATGGAGTGTTGTGCGTGTAGAATGATGACAGATTGCATAAGAGTGTTAACATCTAATATTGGAGCTGTTTGTAGGTTAGAAGAAATTGTCTGAGGAGGTACCACAACTCTTATACAGCACTTACAGTAAAATAACTAATTACAAGCAAGCCGCCTTTGCTAATAAGTCGATCAGTTGAAACTATCTAAAACTCACCACAGGTGAAGGTTAAAACTACAATGTGTAACTCTTCCTACATGGCACTATGAAGAATCCTTAAAATACTGGTCTACGTTATTATAGACTTGTAATTCGACTTCAGTCTCAAACCTGCTCTGTCATAAGCACAGATTGCTATGGATCCTGAGGTATAGGGATCCACCATGCTTATTATAATTGCTAACTAATGAAATGACTTTTTTTGTCACATAATATCTTCTCGAATTACATCTTACGCAGTATTTGAGAACTCTGCTTATAGTAAATGAACAAGCACTTGTGTGGCTCTCTGGATGAAACATTCAGTGACCTAATTATGGTCAATACCTAACCATGGACAAAATCCCAAAGATCTTTAAAAGGAATGGTGGTTGATACAAGTGGGAAATGGAAAAGTTAGTACGATCAAATCTTTTTTTCTGTGGAAATGTGAAAATCTAACGGAGTCTGTTTCTATGGACTGTTAGCAATTACACTCATTCTTAAGGCATGAATCCCATTTATTTTTAAACTTCTCTAGTATATGTTGGAAGCTGGAATGCTGTGAGTAGTATATAACCAGTCATATTTTTATCTCTAGGATTAACTTGTACAGAACAGAACTTTATTACCAAATCTGGTTTTCATCAGGCTGCAGCTGAACATGGCCTCATTGTAGTTGCACCAGATACCAGTCCACGTAAGTGTCTTCAGGTTTCATGATGAGCCTTCAGCATATAAATGTTTGCTGCTGCTTATCCCCAAAGAATAGAAGGATTCATGTTACTACTGAATGTATTGGTGTAATTGTATCTGAATTTGGAATGTTCCATCTGTAGGTTCTATAGATTATACCAATTTGCTGAATTATGTGTTTAATATATATTACATGAATTGCAATTTTAGAACTCCACTATTAAAGCCATTTTAATACAAATGCCCTAAAATTAAGATAAGGGGGCAGTTCAGGTCACACACGGGCAATGTAAGACTCTCGTTCCCTCCATTTTTTTTTTTTTTGGTTCTCCAAAGTCCCTGGCTTACACTCCATGACACACCTTGGTGTATATCGCTGATACTCAGACAGAGGCTCGAGAGCTGCAAGTGGCTCTTTAATGTGTCTCCTGTGTCTCTTTGCAGCACATGATATTAAAACACTGGGTGATTTAATTATTAACTAATCTAAGTTATTTAACCAAGCAGGATGTTTTTACTATGATATTAACCACGTGAGCTGATTTTCAGTGGCACTCACACTGCCCGGGTCCTGGCCACCGATCCGGGGAGCTGTGCATTTTAATTTAATTTTAAATGAAGCTTCTTAAACATTTTAAAAATGTTATTTACTTTACATACAACAATAGTTTAGTTATATATTATAGACTTATAGAAAGAGACCTTCTAAAAATGTTAAAATGTATTACTGTCACGCGAAACCTTAAATTAGAGTGAATAAATGAAGACTCGGCACTCCACTTCTGAAACGTTTCCGACCCCTGTATTAACCAATTGTAGTTGATAAAATAATAGGCATTTTGCTGTGAGAATTTATATATAATATAAATAGTAAATGAAACAATGAATTCACAGTACTGTGGCTCTTTTGGGTAGTGCTGATTGCTAATTTGGCTCCTGAATCACAGAGATCTGAGTATCACTGGGATATACTATGCTGGTACCTTACATCATCCATGGAACCCCGTTGGAACATGGAGCTAGTGTTTTGTTTTTACTGTGTTGCATGATTTTTCAGAGCCTTTTACTATTTACTGTACTCAGTACTTATAAAGCTAAAACAACAGTTTAAAAAAAGCACACACATCTCTTCCCCAGTGCAGAAGAAGTCTGGCTCCGGTAGGGTTCCTTGGCTGGTATAATGTTCCCTGTATAAGGCATTGATTAGTATAGAAATTGGGGAACCTGAAAAGAGGAAATTCTGTACCCACCTTTGTCACAGTTCCCTGGAGAGTTCTGTAAATTACACTACAGCTTTCTGAATGCTCTTGGTATTTTCTGCTTCAGTGGTACTTATGCTATACATATTGGAGGAGCCTTTCTGATATTTTCCAGCATTTGATGGCATCGAATCTCAACAAAAATGCTTGATTTAATTCCCTCAAAACAACTTCCTAACAAGTTCCTTCCACAAATTATTCGTCATGGCTAGGTATTCCAGTTCCCTGGACATAGAATGTAAGATCATTGAATATTTGAGAGCCCTTGATCACAACAGTGATTTAAGGACAGAATTTCAACTTTCTGAAAGTTCTATGCTTTAATCTCTTTTTTGTACTAAGAAAAATTACTGCAAAATATTTTATTGAACTGCTAGGGGAGCAACATATAGTCTTCCATATTTTGTCCTGGGACCTGATGTCTTCCTGTGTTTAGTGCATTTTTAATTAATATGCAGAAAGTATATTGAAACAAGCATTATTGTAACATGCATTCATAGCTATTATGTACTGCAGAGTAGGGATGGTCAAATCTTCATTATGTCATTCAAATAACATCAGATTAAGGGTTTTGGGCTGTAACTGCCCTTGGGTGCTTAGACTTGCTTTTGTGCTACCTCTGGCCATTTGCTCTTTGCATGCCTGTTCATTGATAGGATCATACGTTCTCTTTTGCACTCTTAGCCTGTCTCCTGCCTTTGTAACTTGCCATAACTGGAATAAATCAAAGCAGATGACTGCAAACTCCGCTGTGTTAATGGATTTTCTAGTGCATCTCTGATGTCCATTGTGTTCCAGACAGCCTCAGTTCTCTGTTCACAGGGCCCAAATCTCTAACATCTTTGAGTTATCTGGAACATTGAGTTTGCAGCAGATTAAATGTAATCACATATTAAAGTAAGTGTTCCGAACATAGCGTGGAGAAAATATTTAGAGCGGTGTTTGCATGTGCAGGTGTCTGTAAGTGCATGCCCAGTAGAAACTCTCCTGGAAACACAACATGTGGGAAGCAAAGAGACTTAGCAGTATTAGACACTTATCACTTCTACTGTGGTAATGTCTAAGAAATGGAGTTAGGAGTCAGGGCCCTGTTCTTCCAAGCACTATACAAACAAACATAATCAAGACAGTCTCTGCCCTAGAGAGCTCATTATCTAAGATTTGGACAAAATCCAACAGCTGAATAAACTTAGAAGCCAAGAAGAGAGGGAGAATCAAGTTATAGCAGTGTGATGGTGCAGCTTACCTTTTTGTCATCAGATTTGTCCAGTCCCTCAATTTCCCCTCTTGGTGGTTTAGCCCTCCAGCTGAATGAAAAACTCTTTCATGGTAAACAGAAATAAACAGGAAAACATAAAACGGTTTTAAAGCCTCTTCATGAGGATATAAGTGAACATTTCTTCCCTTTACTGCAGGCATTTGCCCCTCTCCATGGAATGTCCCAAACATTTGTTCATCTCCATTGAGGCTTCTTCCCAGGCTGCTTTTCCACCTTTTTTCCTTAACCCCCTTTCCTTTAGCAAGATTATCATGCTTGTCCTTCCCTAATTTCTTCCTTAACAGAAAGATTCACAGTAAGTCCTACCATCTGTCTCAGACAGAGGCAACCAACCCTTTTATACCCAACATACTTGATTTCAGCCTACAGTTCCCGTGATTCCTGTGCTACAAGTTCCAGAATCCCTCAGTTTTTGGCAGAGTCTGTGTCACAGGAGTGAGCTAAACTTTGATCCTCTTAAAAGCCCCAGGCTCAGCCTGTGATAAGCAGTAAGGTGTGTACTCCTAAATTGTTCTAACAGTTGTGTCAAATTAGGTAAAAGTTTGCGATTTAATATGGCAGCAAAAAAATCCCTTGTAATTCTGGTATTAGTAAACAGGGGCATGTTAGCAAGGAAGAAAGTAATGGTCCTTGTGCTAGTGGCACCTTAAATACTACGTTCAGTTCTCAGCGGCCCAAATTTGATGATGAATCTTGGTCACATGCCACCTGGAGGCACGTTGTGCATATGCTAAGAAGAAGAGTTCTGGGACCCGCTATTAAGAAAGTAAGAACGGCCATACTGGGTCGGACCAAAGGTCCATCTAGCCCAGTAGCCTGTCATCCGACAGTGTCCAATATCAGGTGTCCCAGAGGGAATGAACAGAGCAGGTAATCACCAAGTGATCCATCCCTTGTCACCCACTCCCAGCTTCTGGCAAACAGAGGCTAGGGACACCATCCCTGTCCATCCTGGCTAATAGCCATTGATGGACCTATCCTCCATGAACTTATCTAGTTCTTTCTTGAACACTGTTTTAGTTTTGGCCTTCACAACATCCTCTGGCAAGGAGTTCCAAAGGTTGGCTGTGCATTGTGTGAAAAAATACTTCCTTTTGTTTGTTTTAAACCTGTTGCCTATTAATTTCATTGGGTGACCCCTAGTTCTTGTGTTATGAAAAGGAGTAAATAACACTTCCTTATTTACTTTCTCCACACCAGTCATGATTTGATAGACCTATTACACTGGTCTACAATTTTTGAGAAGTCGTCTGCTTCAGAGATAAAATGTGCTATTTATTATGTATTTTGATGTGCTGAATTCTAATATGACAATTAAAACAACTGATTGGCTACTGTTTCTAAGATATTTAAGTTTTTACATTTTATGCCTATGTATATTGTGTAGATAGTAGAGTTTTAATCATAAATTGTAAACCTAGGACTTTTCATGTGTTGATGGTTGCTTTACATGATATTTCACCTGTCCTGTTTATGTAACACTTTAAAAATCAGCAAAAGGGTTATA